TTATAATAAATTTGGGTTTTTTTGGCATTTTTTTTACTCCTTGGCCTGGATAAAAAATCATACACCATTTTTATTTTTGCAATATATTAAAAAATTATAAAAAATTTGGGCCCCTATTTTTGGGGGCCTAGGCAGGTGCCTCACCTGCCTATCCCTTGTGTCGGGCCTGCCCCATCACACACCTGACCCTCACCACTTTTCACCCTTGGCCTTTTGCCATCTAGTTGAATAAGTTGGTTTGTTGTTTGTGGTGCTGGATTGAAGATTGATTTTTGGTTATTTTAGGGAGTTTTTGAGTTTGCTTGTGTGTTGTTAGTGAAATGTTGGTTTGATTTGGTTTTTTCTAGTGATTTTTTCTGGTTTTTCGTCATTCCTATCTCATTTCCACAGCCCTCACCCCTGATGCTCACCAGGTGTTCGATGAAACGCCCCACCCACTCAGTTGCTCGCCTTCCCCTTGCAAGCGCACGTGACTTAACACATGCGTGACTGATAGGTGATCTTAGGTGGGGATGATAGGGGTTTTGGTGAATGGAAGCCAGTGAGGTGAATAGTGGTGTAGGGGTTGATTTTCGGTGCTAGAATCGGTCGGAAATCAACTTGAAGTGTGCATATCCTATATGAGCGACAGCCGAAGATTGAAGGGTTTTTCTAGATGGGGATGAAAGGGGTTTAAGTGTGGGTTTAGGGAAAGCGTTTGGTGGTGTCAAGGGTGTCCGATGATGCCAGAATCATGCCGAATTGGCCTGAGACGGTAGTTGCACGGGTGGGTTTGGGTTGTGGGATACGATTTCAGTTGAATGAGATCTAGGATTTGGAATAACCATTTTACCCTTTAACCATTATATTAATCAATTTTCTGTTAATTTATATGCATTTGATTTAGGGAATGTTGTATTACTAGGAATGTTATATTAATGAGAATATAGAATACTTTTGAAGATTACTGGGAATGTTTAGGGAAATGCGTTTAGTTAAATTGAAATAAATCGACGAGTATGTTATATAGATTACTGAATTGTCCTTCTATTTTAATATTATTATTATAGATCATTTTTTAACCCCCTACATTTGTTAATTTAGCTAAACACCCGTACAATAAAAGTTTAAGAATTAACTAAAGCACCCTAGCTACCTAAGAGGACAGCCAGCCACCGTCACTAGACGGTAATCGATAGTCATTGGAATGACACACGATCGACTAGATCTAACTATAATAGATTACCACCTATATAACTAACAATAATTATTATAGATTTTAAAAGATTATTAAAATATTATATTACCTGTTAACCAAACTTAATAATTTAAATCATATAAGATTACATTATTTTAATAACGGGGATAACCCCAATCAGATTAATCTTGAAACAAGGGGTTGGCACTTATATTTTGCTTAACCGTGGGTGGGAACATGTCGTTTACTCTTTAATGGGTGTGTCTGTAGTTGTAAAAACATCTTTAACAAATTTCTTAACCGTGGAATTAATATGATGGTTTCTAATGGGATTGATTGTAAAGTGCCATCTTTTCTGATTAAATGTATAGAGAGATGCAATGTAAATAGTTGTTGCTCTAGCCTCATCAAAAATTCAAAATGAAGTGACTCGTTAAATTAAGGTATTAATTAGCATTATAATATAAGATATTAATAAAGACGATTTAATAGAGATGGATTTCCAAATCCCAATGTCTTGCTGTCCATATCCGTACTTTGGAAATTTTACAACCATGGATTAGTGATGGCTAAATGCAATTAATCACACAAGTCACAACTTCAACTTGTTCATTTTCCTTCTGTCACCTACCTGTCACTTGCTCAACTTGTTCTGCTAATCCGCTTTTTGTCCCATTCACTTTTAAATTATCATTATTCTTTTTTCATATATTTGAACTAAATGATGTCATTTCCACTTAATCAATTCAAGTTACATGAACCTATGAAGTACACCATCATGTATTAGACTGATTATTATTATTATTATCTCCATACTTTTAACCGATTTTTTTATTTAATTTATTTTGAATAATATATATACATAACCTTTTTATTATGACGTAATGTATAATGAGTCGAATTTACAATAAGTGATCCCTCGATTAGTATTTTGGATCATATTATAAGAAAAGAAAAAAGAAACGGGTACAAGGGGCAGTACGTGGAAAGCAAGGGAAAGGAGATTAGGTTTTGCAGAATAGAAAGTAGAATAGAATAGGCAAAGTGGAAGGTAAGATACATTGCATGTGTGAGAGTGGCGTCAGTTAATGTATCTTGCAGAAATTCTCAAACACGACAACCCCCTTTTTTTTTCTCTCTCTCTCTCTTCTTCATCTTTCGTATAAGTTCATCAGTTTCTGTGTTTTCTTAGTCAAGCCATATCTTGGGCAAATTCTCTGAAAACTTTCTATTCCATAACCCTTTCTTCCATTTTTCTCTTCCTTTTTTGCCCTACTCGTTTAGGGTTATAGAGAGTTTCTCTTCTGCAAACCACCCAGAACCCTCTTTTTCTTGTAAATGCATTCAAGCTTTTTCGGGTTATTGTATCTCGTCTGCTTCCTCGTGTTCTCCTTTTTGTTTGCAAGTTTTTCTCTCTGTGGAGGCTTTTTCTTTCAAAGTGTTCAGTCATGCCTGCTCTCGTTAACTACAGTGGTATGTTTCTTCGAGACCCGTTGATGCGTTTTTTTAATGATTTTGGATAAATTAAGTCGGATCATATATGTTATACTTCTTCTGCAAATATGAATTGCTAGCTCTGCGTTATTGAAAATTAATTTAGGGATCGCTTGTTTTAGGAATTAGGTGGTATTTATAGCATTTAGTTTTGTTCAATCAAATTTCGTACAGTTTATAAGTTTGAATTTTTCTTTAGGCTTGTAGATCTTCGAATGATTTTCGTTTTCACATGGAAAGTTTTGTAAAGCTGTGATTTTTTATTCTGGATTTTCGTGTAAGAAAGGTTAAAGTTAGAGCCTTTTAGCTTATCGAATTGTTGTTAATGGTATTTACAGGAGATGATGAATTGCGTTCCGGAGGATGTTTGTTCTCTATTGGTTCTTATGTGGATGCGTACTGCCCTCCCCGTAAAAGGGCTCGCATCAGTGCTCAATTTGGGTTCGGTGAAAGTGAGTTTGAGTGGGAAAATCAACCTTCACTTGATGTTCTTCCCGATGAATGCCTTTTTGAGATCTTTAGACGCCTTCCTGGTGGCAAAGAAAGGAGTTCAGCTGCTTGTGTGTCCAATCGGTGGCTTATGTTATTGAGCAGAATCCGCAAGGCTGAAATTTGTCAGAGCAAAAGCAATGATTTGGTCTTGCAAGACAAGGAGGGAGCTGCTTCAGTTTCTGATGATGTTGAAATGATCCCTTCTAATGAAGAGAATGATGGGTTTCTTACTAGATGCTTGGAGGGAAAGAAAGCTACAGATATGAGACTTGCTGCAATTGCTGTTGGAGCAAGTGGCCATGGGGGGCTTGGAAAGCTTTCGATCCGGGGAAGCAACTACATTCGTGGTGTCACCAACTTTGGTTTATCAGCAATAGCCCGTGGTTGCCCGTCTCTCAGATCTCTTTCCTTGTGGAATGTTCCATCTGTTGGGGATGAAGGTCTTTTAGAGATAGCGAAAGAATGCCAATTGTTGGAAAAGCTGGAACTTTGCCAATGCCCTTCAATTACCAGCAAGGGTTTGATTGCAATTGCACAGAGCTGCCCTAATTTGACTACTCTGAACCTTGAATCTTGTTCAAAGATTGGCAATGAGGGTCTGCAAGCTATTGGGAAGTTTTGCTCCAATCTACAAAGCATCTCTATCAAGGACTGTCCTCTGGTCAGGGATCAAGGAATATCTAGCATGTTGTCTTCATCTTCTTCTGTCCTCACGAGAGTCAAGCTTCAGGCCTTGAAAATCACAGATTTTTCTCTGGCTGTCATTGGGCACTATGGCAAGGCTGTTACTAATCTTGTCCTCGGTGGTCTGCAACATGTGAGTGAGAAGGGCTTTTGGGTAATGGGTAATGCTCAAGGTTTGCAGAAGTTGGTTTCTTTGACTATTGCTTCCTGTGGGGGCATAACAGATGTGAGTCTTGAAGCCATTGGAAAGGGCTGTTCAAACCTGAAGCAGATGTGCCTCCGTAGGTGCTTTTTTGTCTCCGACAATGGATTGGTAGCTTTTGCTAAGGCTGCAGGATCTCTTGAGAACCTACAATTGGAGGAGTGTAACAGGGTTAGCCAATCAGGTGTAGCTGGTATCCTATCCAACTGTGCAATGAAGTTGAAGTCACTTACGCTAGTGAAGTGCATGGGAATTAAGGAAATGGCAATGGAAATCCCTATGCCTGTTCCTTGCAGTTCTCTGCGATCTTTATCCATACGAAACTGCTCAGGATTTGGAAATGCTAGCCTGGTCATGCTGGGGAAATTGTGCCCTCAGCTTCAGCATGTAGACCTTAGTGGACTATGTGGGATAACAGATCTCGGAATTCTCCCTCTTCTGAACAGCTGTGTAGCAGGACTTGTTAAGGTGAATCTTAGCGGGTGCTTGAATTTGACAGATGAAGTAGTTTTGGCCTTGGCCAGGCTACACGGTGAAACTCTCGAATTATTGTGTCTTGATGGTTGCAGGAAGATTACAGATGCAAGTTTGGTGGCAATTGCAGACAACTGTATGTTTCTTAGTGATCTAGATGTTTCAAAGTGTGCAATCACTGATTCTGGCGTTGCCATCCTATCTCATGCAGAGAAGCTCAATTTGCAAGTCCTTTCCTTTTCAGGTTGCTCTGAAGTATCAGACAAGAGCATGCCTTCACTGAAAAAATTGGGCAAGACTCTAGTGGGATTGAATATCCAAAACTGCAACTCAATTAGCAGCAGCACAGTTGCACGACTTGTGGAAAGTTTGTGGAGATGCGATATCCTCTCCTAATTCAGGATGGAAATAGAATGTCCTTCACCTATAAATCAAATAAGTGATCAAAGAAACTAGAGGGAGGACTAGAAGTTCATTATGGTTGAGTACAGTGGTAGAATTTTACAGACAGTTTACATGGTAGCAGCATTCAGCGTAGTTTTTTGGCTCATCAGTGGTGGGCCTGCAGGTAGTAATCAAGCGGCTTAGTTGTTTTCCAGGGGACTTTGGCCGGTCACTACATCCTCTTTTTGCAGGCTTTCTTTGCATGTGAAAGCTTGTTGCGACTGTTTAGCCCCCTTTGATAGGAGGCTGCCTCATTGATGGCCATGGTTCCCAGAGAATACAGTTACCAAGTCGTGGTTTTAGATTTCCTTTTGTGGGTACTAGATCTCTTATCCTACCAAGTCATGGTTCCTGATTACTGGACATTTTATGCCCGGTGTTTTAGCTGCAGTCCTACAATCCTATAATGGCATGTTTGGGCTAGCTTTCTTCATTTTCAGCCTGATGAAGTCTGTTGTTTGAATCAGTCCATGGTAGTTTCAGATGTCCTTTTTTAGGGGTTGGGATCTTGAGTCCTATAGTGTTTGGTTTGCTTTGGCAGTTCTATGTCTGGGTGCCTTAGATCTGTGGGCTTGGTGGTGGCAGTTCCTTATTGGTCTGACACAACAACCTTGTTTTTGGTTGTTTTTTTTTGTAACCAAGTCTCAAGTTTTCCGGCATCTCCTGTATATGAATTGTACACGGCAAATATTTTGTTTATCGGTAATGAAAATAATATTTGGTTTGATATAATTCCCAAATGACTGGTAATTAAATGTGTATCATTACATTGGCTTAGCAGTCACCTCTTCTTTGAAGAAGCAGCCTTAGGATATAAATAGTATTTACTAATCACTGAATCCTCATCTTCTCTGAAATCTAACATTCCCAACAACAGTCACTATAATATAAATTAAAAACATTTCAGTGTTGCGGAAGAAATTTGCCGAGGAGTAGAATGAATTTGATCAGCCTCTGAGGCATAAGCAGCATTTTAGACGTTGGCCTTGAAAGGGAAGTGTATGGTGCTGGTAGCTCTGGCAGTTTTCAGTTGAATGATAATTTAGCATTGTGGTTGGAAATGCCAATGAATCATACTCACTGCTTAACATGAGAGCTACTGCTCCCTTATTTTTTTTATGATTTACGATCAACCTTGACAAACCGTGTCCTTCTCCATATTGTAAACAATTGTTTTCCACTCTCTGGACATTAACTGAACCTGGCACTTGCATAAAAAGCTTCTGAATTGTATCTGTGTAAAGATTGGCTCTTCTGATGTAAGATATGGCACTTGTTTATATAAACTTTTAACACATGCGATTACTTCTGCTGTTTTCTTTCTTCTTTTTCAAGGCATGAATATATTGTAGTGACCATGACTTCTCAAGTGAGTTCAATCCCTTTTTCAAAATTTGAAAAAAAGAAAAAAATTGTGAATATCCTCTTATCTCCTTTCTTGACCTCACGCTCAAGAAAAAGTCCTGATTTCTGTTTTTACTGAACAAAGATTCCCATAGGACTTGATAAATCAAAAGCCATTGCCATGACTGTATGAGTATTGAAAGTAGGTAATGAATGCATTAATAAACTAACATAAAAAAGCCAAGTCCAATGAGCAGAAAAGGTCAGAACATTGTCCATGATGACAAAAGAAGGGTCTGTATTCTGTACTGCTTCATTTTCTTTTAAATTTTTTGACAGATAATAAAAACAAGTGGGAATTGCACACCAAAAAGTTGTTAGTTCCAAAAGAAAAAGTAAGTTATCTGGCAAAAGATGAAAAACTGTAACTTGAGTCAATCCACACTGAAAAATTGAACTGAGAGTTACTATTTCCTGAAAAGAAATTTCGGTGTGAAGGCACTCAATTGGGACCCTTGAGCTGACTTGTACTGTAGTTGTTTTTTGAACAAAGCACCGCCTGACCGCCATCATGTGCAAGATGCTCTCTATTTTTAACAGACACCACCACTCTTCAATATATTCCCATATCTCGTCTCTTCCTTTACAAGTAAACTCCAGACAATTCTGCAGCAAAAGTATCCACTGTATATGCATTTTTTCTCTCTTTTCCGCTCACAGACCAACACTTATGGCTTCATCAAGACACTACCAAATTGGCATACAGAAAAGAATCGTCGTGATGCTCATCATTGCTTTCATAATATTTTCTTCCGAATCAGGTAAAAAGAGAAACTCAATCACCCACTATAGTTTTGACACTGCATGGCCAAAAAAATCTCATGAAAAAATAAGTTAAGAACTGCGTTTTTTATCCTTGCATTTTATGTCATCATTATGAAAGCATTTATGTTTTGGCAGCTGGGTCACAGTATTCAAGAGGAAGTGAAGGTGAGAAGGAGAAGCAAATGAAAAAGGTGTTGGGTTCAAGGCCTCCACAGTGTGTGAACAAGTGCTTGAATTGTAAACCATGTGTGGCTGCTTTAATTGTTCCTCCCCACCCTAAAAGCCGATTGAGAGCATCATCTGAAGAAGATGAAAACTATTATCTGCTCTCATGGAAATGCAGATGTGGGAACAAGCTGTTTCATCCTTGAGACCACCAATTAGATTACATTGTCTTATATATATGCACTTTTTTATGTACAGGTAGCTAGCTAGGGTTTAGACTTTAGGGACTATTTGCATTCTCATTATCATTTTGATGAACAGAATATAGGAAGGCCTCTCTTGCTAACCAAGCTTCTGTCTCTAACAATTCTTGGGTGAATTATTTGGCGTGCATTTATATCAATTATGTGTGTTTTCCATAGCGTATATGCACATAATGGTGTGATGAAAGCCACAAATATTTTAATTTACCTGTATTTTATGTTACATGTTAATTATAACGTAAAATGGAATAAACTTTTGCAACCAAGTGATAGTATAATTTTCTTTTAGAGGAAGAAGTTCCATCCAAAAAAGAAGAAAATCATAAGACCAGAAATAGTTATCATGATTTTTTCTCTCTCTTTCCCCCCCCTTTTTTTTTTTTTTTTTGGGTTATGACAGGAGATGTTTGTACAAGTTTATGCGTACTTCAATTAATCTCTCATGACTTTAGAACTATCGATTAGGTAAGAGTTTCAATGGTTACCCGTATTAACAATCAATGAGAGATTCAAACTTAGAACCTTTTGAGTAATATACCTAAGAGTTCTGATCGAACTACTCGATCACCCAGAGGTGATTATATACTCTTTCTTCTTCTTCTTCTTTTTTGGTTTTCCTGAATGAAAATAGGAAAATTAAAATAAAATTGAACAAGTTGGAATGGTGATGAACGAAGTCAATTAGTGTAAATAATAACAAGGGAAATGATGTGGGTGAGAAGTAATGTAAATGAAGTATAAAGTTATAACAACACTGTGACTTGCTAATGCTATGCGGTTGGTGCACCAAGAAGTATACACCAATGTTTTAATAATAACTCGGGTGACACCCGGCAAAGTTGCTATGTCTTGGGTTGACCGATTTAACCGTTTGATGGGTCAAAAGTTTAAAATTTAGCAAACACACCCCAAATACAAATCAGCAGTCAATTGGTTGGTGGCAACGACACACCAAATGCAATCACAATCATCCATGAGTCATTCCCCAAAATATCTATCCAAGATCTAACTGAAATCGAAGATCTCACCGTTGCCGATGTCGACAACCCAAGTTAGATCTCACCACCATCAGCGTCAACAACCTTACCCATCAGTATCAAAATACTCCCCTCAGCCTCCTGACTAAAACCCATCTTATCGCACCCCAGTTCATCTCGCCAACATTGTTTTAAAACCCGGATCGGAGGGCAACTCGTTTTGCTGTCTGGGTCACTGGTCAATTGGTTCAACCGGTTGGACCGATGACGTCAGAGACAGTTTTATTTTTAAAAAATTACATAGTAATCCCTCAAATTTTAATATATTACAAAAATTCCCCTAAAAAAGTTCAAATTAGTCCCTAAAATTTTTATTTATTTCAAAAATGCCGCAAAAATTATCAATTAATCCCTAAACTTTTGACATATCTCTAAAACACTCCTATAAAATTATAATTAACCCCTATAATTTTGAAATATTACAAAACCCCCCTAAGACCTGAACGGGACCGGAGAAACTGTCGGGTCCTGGTTCGACCGGCCGGTCCGGTTTTTAAAACAGAGCTCGCCAATTGCTAGCAAAAGCCCCATTACACTCACTGCAAGTTTTTTTTTCTTCCGATTTTCGATCAATTCACTTACCGAAAATCACCTTTGTTGCCACCATTGCACTCACTCACCCTTCCTCTTCAAAAGCCCCAACATCCCGGCCTTCAATTGTTCACTGATCACCGTCCCAATTTCTAAGGCTTTCGGTGAATAGGAAAGTTGCTAACCCAGCTCAATGAAGGCCTCGGTTGAATTGATTCAACCTGTCGAGCCAGACCGGATTTTAAAACATTGGTATACACCTCTATTTAGCAATAGGGTAAAAATATTTGCTTGGCCCAATACTGTCTGCTGACGCATAATTTACCGCCTATATTCCTATGTTTTGAATAATGCCACTCTCCAGTCTTTACTCAGTTTTCTTCCCCAATCTTTTAATCATAATTATGTAAATGATAAGAATATGTTTATGTTGTTTAAACTTAGACATTTGATTTCACAATTTTTTTTTTATTAGATGGGTTAGAGTAAATTTCGAATATTAGATAAATGCCAAAAAATTATCTATTTATACAAACAGCTTACTTCGGCCTAAATTAATTTGATAGAAGCCATATTGAAACCCAACAACAAAAAATCTCATACCATTTGAGAGAAGACAAGGGAAGATCAAACAAGTGGCAAGTACGTTGCATGACATTTTTCATATTGCTTACTGGTATACATGATAATTACATTGCATTATTTCCCTATTACTCTTAAACTATGTGAGGCATGAGAATGCGATTTTTCACAACAAAAGCCCCTATAATACACAGGTCTCCCAAGAGGACTTGGCCATTTACATACTACAAAGAAACAATATGGTCATATCTGATAAAGGAGATCGTCGACTTTAAAACAAATTCACACATGAAGCACACATAAATATTACAAGGGCGCTCATTTTGAGGAAAGAGAGCTTCCTTGGGCTTGTCTGCTAACAGATTTGCGTCACACCCACACCAAAGGATCAACAAGTCTTTGTTCTAAGCAGACTGGAACCCTCCGGTTTCCAAATGATATTTTCTAGTTTAGAACATAGATTCTTGTAGAACTGCAAAACAGGCACATGAAAGTTGTCATTTACATCAATAGCCTTATCATGATAACTTGAACTTTTTTACTTCAAGAAGATGATTCTTAAACATTAATTTGTATAACATAAGACCATTTATCTGAATGTCACACAAGCAAATCTTAAGTTGTTGATGATCCAATACATACACAAGCAGTTAATGATTCCTATAAAAAAAATGCATATGTTTGATCCATCTAATAATTGTTTTCTGTAACATTGGAAAAAAAAAAAAAAAAAAAAATTTCAAACAACTCACAAAATTATAAGAACTAGTATGCACTAACCTTGTGATATTCAAGAGTATCTCCAGCAGCCTTCCGAACATCAACCATGAAAAGGGATGGTGCAACTTCAAAAACCTAATATTGAAAAACCACTTAGAGGAAGTAATAAAAATGGAACAGCGGAAACCAAAATCTAGGAACTTACCTCCAGGACGACTGCAAATTGTCCAACGTTACCAGCAGATACTCCTTCTAATCTTATCTGTCGGTATTCCAAAAATAAAAAATAATAAGAAAAGAATATGAAGATAATTCAATACATAAAGCATGAGCCCCAATGAAGCAAATAACCTCAGTGACCCCAACGTTAAATATACTGTAGATATAGAAAAAACTAAAAGTTACTTGGACTTTTTTAACTTCCCGTTTCTTCCTTTCCAATTATTTTATTATTTGGCAAAGTTGCAGTGTATATCTTTCGTCATTTGTTGTGCTCATTTTCTGAAACATTTGTTTGAAAATTGACCAATCATTATATGATTCTATTTGTTAACATATTAACATTGAATAGTAAACAGAAGAGTAACAAAATCCTTAGTCCTTACAGAATTTATACCCCAAGTTCTACATTTCAAATGATGTGACACTGACTTAAGACATGTCCACCTTATTTGAAAAAATATTCTACCCTTACATGTTAGTCATATACAAATCCACGTCATAAGGAACACAAAACTAGGAGAAAGAATTTGTAATAGCATCATTCTAAATACAATCTTCAGACGGGAGATTATATCTCAACATTTCAGTGTCAAAGTAAAGACACAAGATACTGATAAAAGAACAATGACATGACATTTTAAGTACATATTACAATCAATACCTTGTAATTACGAGAATGAACCTTGAGACTCAAAGATTCTGCAACAGCTTCAACGTTTGAAATTATAACTTTTGCTGGTTGGCGCGATACAAAACGGGTTTGCCGTTTAACATAATCCTGAGAGGACAAGTGCTTTTAAGATTTTCGTTTTTAATAATCAAACCACCGGATCCAAATACATTCTATAAAAGAAATTAAAGAAAAAATAAAAGCAATATTTGAGGTTCAGCATTGCAACATCAGTATTGCTGGAAATCACCTGCAGCGGTACCATATTAATAGACTGGAAATTACTAGTAGAGCATTAAAATTCTGTTCCAAGAGCAGATCAAAACACTTTTGGCCTATTAGTTCCTGTTACTCTTATTTTCTTTTAACTAATTATCCATTAAATTAACATTCAGAATATATATATTTTAGCCATACATATTTCACAATCTCCTGACCAATACATCTATCTATATGTAGTTCTAAGTTAGATTAACCTGGAGACATTTCATTTGAAGACCTCATTAAGATTCACATGTTTTAGCAACCAGAAACCAGAATTAGGTAAAATAATGCAATAGATCAAATGTCAGAATCACTACCACAACCTATAATAGTAGGCTAAAAAATAGACAAGGACTTAATTTAAGACACATCTAGCAGCAGGAATTCAGGACACAGGACTATATCACTGCACCTGTCGCCGGTCAAACAATGCTGCTAGATTCAACCCCTGGGATAGTGTAATCATCTCAAATGCATTCATTACCAGAGGACCCCCCTCTTTATTTTCTGGCTGCTCAGCCACATAACCTTCCTGCAAAACAGCAAATTTTGCAAGCTTAAGTCAAATTGGAGTTCAAGAATAACAAAGCACCCGCTAAAAGGGTAATCAAACTTACTAAACTCAAGTAACAACCATTAATATCTAATGTTGATGTCATGAACATGCAGAACTGTCATCTTGCACTAGAGAATCTATTCTACTCAAACAAGAAAAACATACAAAAATGAAACAAAATTGAACAACAGCCAACCTCAATGTCGTCAAAAACAGCATGAACATCATCCAAATTCACTTCTTCTTCTTTATTATGTTTGACAGGCAAATAGTTTTTCCGGAACCATGGATCTTTTCTAATCCCTTCAATCTGAATACGCTGCATTATGAAAACAGTCACAGTTAAGGAAACATGCAGACG